GGGGGGGGCGGGGCGCGCCCCAGCACCGCACCGTTTCAGTGCCTCACGTGAGGGCGGGAAGAAAAGCACTGCGCTGATGTTACTGCTATCTGAAACACAGCTGGCACAGCTGGCCGGCAGTGCAAGGGGTTTTAATTCAGGGTGTGTTTTTCTGCTGGGATGCCTGTGGGGGCGAGAGGCACCGGGCGCCAGGCCTCGGCGGGTCCGGCGTGGCAGGGGCCCCAGGAGGTGGCACACCTCTCCCCACAGCTGGCAGTGACATACATGTTTTTGTAACCGTTCAGCTGGATCAGCACAGAGTGCTATGAAATATATGGGATTCAGGCTTTGGCCTTTTTCACTCTCGACTGCGCTTTCTGAAGAGAGGAGCGTGTGACTGCGCTTTGGGTCGGACACGCCCCAAGCTGCATTTATTTTTTTCAGTTGCAAGATTGCTGGAAAAAGACAGCATCTGCTCATACTGAACGATGAGCAGAACCTTCAGTGATGACGACGCTTCTCTGTTCCCCACTTCGTCCTGTCCTTGAATCACCAGCTCTCAGGAATGACAGATTTAAAATTTCCAATCTGGAAATCATTCACAAAACTGTTAGTCAACAGCACGCACTGAATTAGTGAAGTTACTGCAAGAAATTGGTTAAAGACTCGAAATCGATCCAAGCAGAAGTCACGTGCATGCAGGTGTAGTTGGATTGTCCAGTCTCTGTTGTCTGTCAGGGTTTGCCGCTTAGCTGTTACCACGCTTCAGCCATGGTGAAGCTCACAGGATGAGAATTTTTGAGCTGCATCACCAGAGCCCATCTGGCTCCAGTGCACACTAGGGGGCATGTGTAGGTGAAGGTGCACTAACCCGTTCAAGTTACAACACAGGCACTCCCTGCATCCTTCAACAACTTTGTAACAAATAAGTGAGCATCTTCCGATGCTGGGGGAGATGTAAGGGGCAGGAGAGAAGTCCGTCTTCCACAAACAGGACACGCTTCTATTGCCCAAATACAGCTCCAGAGGTGAAACCTGAATGTATTGACAACCTGAGGCGTGATGGCAATGCAGGATGATGGTTGGCTACAAACATGATTAAAACCTTTTACTGTGCTTTAAGGTACTTTTAAAAGTTGCTGAATAGCAACCTCAGGAGAAAACAGATTAAGAGATCCATGGACAAGAGGCTGGAGTTACTCCAAAAATCAAAGCATTTCTGTTTAACTTGCCTAGATGTTGATCTAGGTCTACATATAGACAGATATGAGAGTGTATGTATGTATCTGTATGTATTCTTGGTGAATTCACAGTATGGGCCTTAACTGCTAAACTACTACTGTTTTTTCCTTCCTGATAACCATATGTTAAGAACAAGGAAGAGGATTTGAAAGATGTGCTAGAAAAATTAAGTCATCCCTTTAGGTGAGCACAGCCTAATTTTCCTTTTCTGGTCCATGTAAGCAAGTGTATTTGGCTAATGCTCACCAAATTCTCACCACTGCATTTCTACTTACTATACCTTTCAAACCACAGTGTTTTTAAGTAATTTATAGTCCAAAAAAAGAAAGCATTCAAGATCCTTATTGCCATGGATCAGAAGAAAGGGCAAAGTTAAATTTGCTAGCTTCCCTAACTCAAGAGGGAAAGGATTTAACATACACTAGGGTAAAGGGGTACTCAATTACAATGAAATGAACCTAAAATAACTCCACTGGGCTGCATAATCAAGGACACGTCTTCCCTTCCGGCTCTGTCAGGATAGCAAAACTAGAGAACTAATTCCAGGGTGTGATGGGCTTACAGTGTTATTTTACACTCATCTTACACTCAGGGCAGTTTTTAAAATGTCTGTTACAGACTTCATAAAGCAAAAACTGCCTCAAAGATGAGTTAGCATCTATTCTGTGCATAGGCATACTGGCAAGATGAGGCAGGTAATTTTGGCTTTAGCAGTCCAGATGTCAGTTGTTCGCCACTGCCAGTGGCGACAAGGCCAAAAATCTGGCTCAGTCAGCTACAGGGGATGACTTTACATTTGAATCGTTAAGGAACTTCTGAAGAAGAGGTTAAAAGTGATGAACAGGTAGTGCAGGAAGCTTCCTTCTGGCTGATGTTTTATTATCAACCTTACTTTCCTCAGTGGAAAAAACAGGAAATTATTTAAGGCTATCTGTCATTTGGTGTTTTCCATCATTTTCAGACAGAGATGATGTAATTGGACTGCTTTAGACGTATGACCCTCCTGCAGCATTCCAGAAGAAGGAAACTGCTGCTAGGTTTGCACAAAAGGGCAAAGACATGCTGGAGTCTGACATCCAGTTGTCTGTGCCTTAAGCTGTTCTGATCTTGCACCATGTGTGTTCAGCAACTTTGTTTCCACTCTGTCAGGTGCATAAAGCGCTGTCTCCTGTCTTCAGCTTACAATGTTTTCCCCCCAGAGACTTTTATAGCTAAAATGCAGTAAACTTGTATAGAAAGCTATGCAAGAAAAGTTCGGCTTTTGTTTTTTGGCCCTTTTTTTGGTCCTGTAGTCAATCAGTTGAGAATTTGGCTAATAAAAGAAGTTTTACTGGGAGACCTAGCAGGATACGTTCCTGGTAACTGAGGAGACAGAAAAAAATATTTCTTTACCCATGAAGGGGTCCATTTCTCTGATCTCCTGAATAACATAAGCTAGAGAACTTCAACTGGTAATTCTGAAGCAAGCCCCTGTGTCATGGTTGAACTAGGCCATCTCTCTTAGAAAAGACGCATACCTTCAGACCTAAATAATCATATTTATGAAAACAAAGAGATCTGATAGTGACACTGTGCTACTAGATTGGTAGCTCTCCTAGGGAGGTAGATACCTGAGCAATTAAAAATGCAGAAGCCTTATTTCCCTTTTGAATTTCTCAAGAGATGGGGAGGAGCAGAATGAAAAAAAAAGAGAAGTGAGGGAAGAAAAATTTGTGTTAAAAAAAACAGACAACAGAGTGGAAAAGAATCAAGCTCATAATCTATCACTCTTACTTTGTCTAAAGTCCTCCTCCACTCAGTTTTCCCTAGCTCTTGGGGTTTCATCAGTGTTTTCTTTTCCTGTTCCTGTGATTTGTCCTTTGATGCTGACTATTATGCCTTCTTCATCCATGAAGTCCACAGGGACCAAAAAAAAATGCCCCATTCACCTGTGAGGTCTAAGAGTTTTGGGACTGGGAGAAGTGAAAAAAAAAAAAAATTAAAACAGATGAATTGGAGACAGGTCAGTTAGGTATTTCTTGTAGTTAAGATCTTCTCCCTTTGCTTAGTACTTTGCTGTTACTACTTTAGTGTTTCACTTTTGTTATTCTTAGACATTATAAAAGAAGCTCAGACTTCTGAATGTATAGGTTACATCATTTCTCTGCAATGAACTGAACATTTTGTTAACATATGTTTTCTGTCTTCTATACCTCTATGAAGACATTAGCAGCTCTTACCCATCTAGACAGTACACGTGCGTTCTATTCTGCTCTGAACTCGTTTATAATGGCGAATTTTCCTTTGGTCGTTCATATTGTTTTGAGAGGTTTCTCCTAAAAAAGGTTTTCTCACGTCTATGTAGGCTGATGCGATGGCACAACTACTGAACCCCCAAGACAAGTAATTTGAATAAAGCCTGCTTGTTCTTTTAAAAACAGCAAGATCTGGTAATGTTTCTATAGCACATTAGCAAGTTCTGGCACAAGAAATGGAAAGAAAGCAGGAAGCAAAAGCAGTAAAACAAGCAGCTGCAAAACGCAGTAATATGCACTCACAGAGAGAGTAAGCAATATTTCTCATTTGTGAAAATATTTCATGCTGCTCCTGTGCTCGTGGATTTTGCTGAAGCTCAGAGTCAAGCTGCACTAGCTGCTAACAAACCTGGAAAAGGACAGCTTTCATGAACATAAAAATCACCTCCACACAGCAGTACATTTTCTTATCAGAGTTTATTGTTGCACTTCATATATCATGCCACTATCAGAATAATATCTATTTTTATTTTAAAAAAACTTTGAGAAAAATGTTTCCAGCAATTTTCATTCAATGTGAATGACAAGAATATTACATCTATAAACATTGAAATATCTACTTAATTTCTTCCTGAGGAAGTTTCACATTTTTAAGCACTGAAAAAGAATATTCTGTACAAGCTAGTCTGCAAATCAGTGAAACTAATTCTTTCTGCACAAGTAGAACTGGGAAAATATCACAGTATTTTCAGGAATGTTTGCTCAGATCACCAAGTGAATTCCTATCAGGCTCTGTGTTTAGACCCCCTAATGGTTACTTTCTGCTAATAATCACACATTGATTTTTACTGGCACAGACGTCCATGGAAAGCAAATTTCAGAATCATATTTAGGAAAGCAAACGTGAAGCTCACATAATCAAGCATTTGTAAAGGAATTGCTTGTGCAGTTTTCTAGCAGGGGAACAGGAACCATGGCTGTGTTACCAACCGCAGTAGACACCTCACTGTGACTAGCAAATGTAGCTCCTTTGTGATGAAGCAGTATTTTTTTAGAAGTAAGTGTTAATACTGATAGTCTGTTTCTGAAAATCAAACATTGCTTTTGTAGGTGAGTTGTGAACAGAAGAGGTTAAACTTTGTCAGATAATACCGTATGTTGTATGACTTGCTTACTCAGCTCTGCTCACATGTATCCTATTATTTGTGGAATAACACATCTAGCTGTTGTCTGCATGCTTTGCTTAGACTCTTCATTCATTACCAAGTTGACTGCACATTAAAAGTCATTTCTATTTTTAAAGTCTCCTGTTAAATGTAAGAACAGATTTAAATAGAATAGTTCTGGAGCGAAAAAGTGGCTTCGTACCATCTTTTACAAACAACTAGTACCCGAACGTCTGGAATCAGAACTGCAAAGAACAGTATCAATTTGCCATTACTTCTCCATTGCTTTTGTGTGTGAGAACAGCACTTCCAATGTACAGGAAGCTAATCCTATAGCACCTTTTCTAGAGATGCTAATGTTTAGCAACTTGATTTCAATAGGAGCTTGGACTGATGAAGATTCAAGATCACGCCCTTTCAGATGCACACTTCCAGGGACAAAAGGCCAAGTTACTTTGTCCACGGTATTGACTCAGGTAAAGTTACCACAGGAATCCACTGAGATTTGCCTAAGAACTCATGGAAGGCCAGAAGCCATACAAGAGCCCCATCCTACTGCTCCTCGTCCGGTTTTCAGAGTCATCACAGCACTCCTTCCCAGAGGATGAGCCCTGCATTTAGCTGCCAAACCTAGTCTGGCCAAGGCCACGGCTGTGCATGTGAAGGGCCTACGCTCCGGGTGCTACAACCTGACAGCACTTGAGCTGTTTTAGGAGATGACAGCTGTAGGAGGTTCCTTGCCATACCTCAGTGAGGACGCCACAGAAGTCCATAGCTCCGGGACCTGTCACCTTTCCTGTTGTAAAATTTCTGGAAGGATAATATGTCTGATGTGCATATAGCCATCACCACTCTATCCAACCTTGACTGCCCACTCATCATTCCGATCCCGCTGAGGCCTTGATTTCTCAGAGAAAGAAAAAGGAAACAGCACTCTTGGAAACAAAGATGGAACTGTGAATGTGGCTGTAGGAGCATGTAGGAGGCACTTGGTGTGCAGAGAAAAATTTCTCTTAGCATGAAAATCTCAGGCATTTGATAAAGCCTACAATTTTTCTTATTTTTTTCTATTGTACAATTGCTGCTTGAAAGAACATGGGCTAACTGAGGCAGCAGAGCACAAAACATGAGCTTTGTGCAATCCCTGCAATTTTTTAAATGTTTGAGTGACGGTAAACTAGGTTATACCAAGGATAAAATCAGTCATGCCAGGAGGAAAACTCCAGGTGTTTTCTCCAATTACTCAGTTCAGTTGTAACAAATCCATACAGATGCTTGAGGAGCACATGAGCTGTCCATAGCATGCAGAGAATTTTGCTTTTACAGATGTTCAGAATTCAGAGTGTTTCTTTCATCAAATAAGAAGTACTTTTAAGACACGTCAGCTTTTGGACCTAACCCATTTGAGAGTGTACATTTAAAGTAAAATGAAAATTCTCCTTCTGTCTAATAAATAATAAAGATGTTCATCTTAAAATAACGTCTACTCTAGCAGGTCCTCGTCACGCATACTCCCTTAGCAAAATGTGCTGCAAGAAGAATATGGTTATATACAGCAAATCTGTCTAGATTTTTTTCTTTATAGGCCTATTAAAACCAAATGTTACATAGATGAAAACAAAAAATAATAATAATTACCAGTTAGAGGTACAGTAAGGATCTCAACATCTGTTTTCTAATTAGGGAATAAGAGACTGGTTTCCATTCCGTTACCTTGAAAGTTAAATTATATGATTATGTAAGTATCGTAAAACAGCACCGAGACTCAGAAAGGTTTTCCACCATTTGATGCATGTTTTCAACTATTCATCCTAGAACACATAACGGTACTATTACAGACTTACTGTGAAAAGCATTGCATTGAGAACTGCAGTTATCTTTCACCTGATATTTTTTCACTACCTCTTCATGCCTTTTTACAAACACTCAGAGCCAAAGTTCTGTGAAGGAGCATTAGGGCAATACTTAAATGAAATTTTCAAAGACCTCCTCTCTCAATGTTTTACGTACTTTTTATCAGACCTTACCTCACATGTCTAAACTGATGTAGTGTGAGATGTTATATCTAAATACAATATTTCTAATACTGAAATATCTAAAATTACATAAACGTAAAGCCAGGTATTAGCATTCTCCAGGACTGGAGCCTAATTTTGTACCATTATTACACACTGTGTTCTATTCTTTTTTTTTTTTAAAGTTTATTCCTAGTATTTAATACCAAACTTTTTAAGATGTCTGGAACCAGGGTTTCATTGTGAAATCAGATAAGATTTTTGCAGCTGACATAAACTGGAGGTCACTGAAAGACGCTACAATTTTGATCAGGTGGAGGGATCTTGGAATAGACACAGCACAGACTGAGGGCAAATAAATCAAGGAAAAAATAGTCATGCAAATTAAGGCAAGATAAGTATGGAACTGTTTCTGCTCTTTACCAGTTTTTCCTTCATTTCAGTGGAGTCATTCCTGATTTATGGCAATGTTAAGTTCAGAATGTAATATTCAGGTCTGGCTGCTTACAGTAGCCAGGAGTGAAAGACTGTTCATTGCAACGCTTCAGTTTGGTTCACAGTGGTTAAGTGTGTAATACTTCTCATAAAGGTAACATTGTTAACTTTTGTGCTTCAAATATCTAATTAAATTTCTGTTCGGATGCAGTCTCACCTTCTGCATTTTGCCATTTCAGTCAGAGAAAAATCAGACAGTAATTACAGACAAAGGTTCTTACAGCATTTTAAGAGTTTGCTGTTACAGGCTTTGATCACAGGTAATGCATCCTTTTTTGCTACGCTGCTTTAACCTGCGGATTCCAGATTTTGCTCCACGTATTTTGTTGCCGTGCACACCTAAATCATATGTGGTAATTGCACTCCTCAGCCTTGTTAGTATATACTAACTACCTGGTTAATACATACTTTGTTAGCATGAACCTTGTTAGAGTACACTGTGGGTATTTGTCAAACTCATTCCAAAGGCAGGAGTACACTTGGCACTTTCTGCTACGTTAAATTTTCTGACTTTATGCAAGACACAATAATCAAATAGTAAGAAAAACTGTCAGAGGTCTAACAATGGGCTACAAAACTTACATGAGACACAATACTTTTAAACTGACATATAAAACTGTAAATATTTACCGTGAAATTGGATAGGTCACGTATCTTTGAAACTTATACCAGTTGCAATTGACTTCCACATATGTGCACAGCAGTCCACAAGTCTACAGGCCCAGAAACGACTAGGAGAAAGACTGCGGTCCACCAGAGTTGTAAGGAACACATACATTTTCACAATCCACATGCCAGCATATGGAAATCATTTCTTTCTTTTACTCTTTTTTGAAGAGGTATATTTTACAACTCCTTCTGGTAGCTACCGGAGACTTTAGGGATGATGACTGAAGTGTGGAAGAGAGAATTCAAAAAGCCTTTTTTCAATGCTATCTTACTTTCTGTAGCTCCTGTCTAAGCCATGACGGCAGAGGTTGTCCCAATTTGTGAAGGAGTTTTGACAGTTCCACATTGTGATCTCTGTAGTAGCTCGACAGAAAAGCCCTGCACTGATGGATATAAAAACAGTTATTTTTACTTAATAAAATGCCATACTGTAGTTGCTGTGAATTCTAGGTTTTGAAGTTTGTTTTACCTGGGCCAACACTTCACTTTCTCTTACGCAATTTGTACTTTTTATGCTACCTAGCGCATACAAGTTTAAGCTCTTCAGTCTAGGAGCTGGACTGCAAAAGATCATTTCCGGAGGAATGAAGGATATCCAAAATGAACATCAAAATCAAAGCAAAGGATCTGATTCTGCTCTCAGATAGTCATGTAAATTAAGAATTGCTCTGAGGCTGATACAATTACTTTGAATTTACTCTAGTGTGATTGAAGCCAGAATGTCATAAAGAGCTTCTAAAATCTCTTAGCATTCAGGCATCTATCAATTAGTACTCCCAATGTTCAAAAGTATTTAGAATTGAAAAATGTAACAAAGACAAAGTCTTACCCTATCTCTGGTCAAAAGCCTTCTCACTCAATTAGTTTATATCAGTATAATTCTACTGCACTCTGCAAAGTCATTGATGATGTATACAGACGTGAGATGAAAAAATGGCCTACATGCTGCATCAATACTTACTGTTGTTCAATTTTTACTTGAGTTTTAGGCTAAATGAAATGGGAATGTAGGACAGAATAAATATAAAATTTCTAGCTGGAACAGGAGAACAAACTGCTCGTGAGAGCAGGCTACAATATTTGGCCTGATGGAAATTATTTTATTTGAACATTTGTCTGGGGAAGGAATTTACAAAATACCATAGAAACAGAACTCAATCACTCTTAAAAGTGGACTTTATGAGAGTCAGCGCTAACTGTCACGGCCTAACTACTCCCAAGGATGCAGCACCAGACGCACACATACTTATCTGATCATGACTGTGAAAAGAAATGCACTGTGAAGCCTCTGCAGGTTAAGTCACTTAGCTTGGGGGACCACGTTTCTACACGACTTTCAGGGAATTTCAGGGCTGCCAAGCTTATTCTTTAAGGGGTGCCACGCTTCAGAAGTTGTTTTTTTAATGACCCAAATACCTCTCATTTGAAATAAAAGACTGAAGTAGTCAAACAATTAACAGGTAACGAATTTTGTGTTCTCTCTCTTCTTATTATTTTGCCTGTGTGGTGTCTCACACATGGCAGCTAAATCCCTGTATCACGCCAAAGAGAATAATGGTTTACCTCAGAATCCATAGGAGGGTATTTTCTACCTTTGCTCTTTCCAAGACACTTGGTTTTTCCTTCCTCCAGGAGCTGACACCAGAAACCTTTATGTGAATCAAACCTGAAACAAATATACTTTCAAATGCAACAGATACCAGTATACTTTCAACGCAGAAACAAAATCAAGCAAGTTCCCATAATCTCACAGCTCATTTTTTGCTCCAGTAACTTGTCATTTCGGGGGGAAAAGAGGGAAAACAACTGGGTGAACAGAGGAGGCGGGGGGTTAAGAGGAGCAAGGCAGTAAAAGCTGGGCGCAGACACAAAGACTACAGTAGAAATAGATAAAGATGAAAGATAGAAAGATGAAAGATGAAAGATGAAAGACAGACAGACAAGAGAGAGGCAGAAGTCAAGAATACTGACCCTGGAAAGGCACTCTTGCAGTGGACTGTGTGTGAGAGGCTGAGGAGCACCCAGTGGGAAGGATGCGTTTTTTGAGTTCAGATCGAAGAAAAAAGGGTCTGCTCATGATAAAACTAGCATCTAATTGGTTAAGATTACTGTTGGGGCCGAGAAATGTATTATGGGCAGAAACACTGGTATATACTGATTGTATTCAATAGATTAATCCAAAAATAATCATAATAAAATATGTAACAAAGTCTACGCATTCTGTGTATGTTGACATGTATCCGATGATCATATACTTTAGAGCACATTTTAAGGATTACATCAGCCCTCAGCCAGTACCTAGGCAATGGAGACTAGGCTTTCAGAACAAAGGCAGGGCTTTTGCTGGCAACACACACACGGGTTAACAACTCTTTTCATTGTGAAGGACCACTTATAGGTAGGAGGTAACATACGTAGTGAACAGCTGCACTTGGTTTGCGCAGCTGGTTTAATCTTCTCTCCTACAGAACTTTTGCCAGCAAAGGTGGAAAGCACTTCTTCCAGCTGGACTTACTCTGTTTTCATCAAGACAATACACCCATACACCAATTTTGCTTCGTAATTAGTTTTGCCCACCTCTGTAATAAATGGATTTTAAGATTGCTAATCTACAGTTCACTTCCCAATGCTTCACTCACAACTTGTAACTTTGGTATGTTGGTATTTACCTACCTTCCTATAAACTATACATTTACAAGCTACAAAATGCTTTGAATTCTTTGGAGAAAGGATACAGAAATGCAAATGGATTTTGTTTCATTTTGCTGTAGTGCAATGTGGTAGTTAAAAGAAAAAATCATTTATATTTTGTGTACCTTTTGCCAAAAGACATGCCAGAATGAATGCATTTAAAGACAAAGTTATTAGTGGTGCAACTAAGCTGATGTCGCTAAGGGAACAAATTGGTCTCAGTGCATTTTAATGGAATAAGTTGCTTCATTTCCGTGAAGATTACTTGTGTTCCAGGGCAGACATGAATGAAATGTGTGCTACAGAATTAGAAGCAGATAGGATTAATTCACAGTATCTGGGTCAAAGGCTTCGGTATATTAAAAAACAAGAGAACGTTTTCAATACACTTAACTCTAGGGGGTGAATTGGGCCCTTTCTGTCCTTATTGTGCACTTGACTATCTCATCTAAGATAAAAGTCTGTTTTGCTACAAAAAGGAACAATACAACTGGATAAAAGCATTAAACATAGAAATGCCTAGAAAAGAAAAGCATTATTTCCTGAGACCTTCGTATAAAGACAGACAATAGGCTCTCATTCAGAAGAGCAGCCTAAGGTTATCAATCTTATTTTAAGAGCAAACAAATCTAAATGTCAGATTCCAAAGCACTTGCGTATGTGAGTGCTTATGACATACAGAGTGGATGTTACACTCCTGACACTGATATTGTTGAATTTTTCCTGTAGCTGATGTTGAAAATAAAGAGAAACTAATTTTCTTTCCCTTCTGTTTATGCATGTTGGCTCTTTTATTGACGGGAATAAAATTCCTTTTTGTTCATCCAAAATTCATGTACAGTTCTCACAAAGCTATACCTACTCTGTCCATTTGTCAGAAGTCTATTTCTGTAACAGTCAAGTTCTGCATTTAGTGACTCAGTGCATGATTCACAGAAAATCTAACCCTGAATTGTATTCTTTCCAGACATTGAAGAATACATCCTACTGATGGCTCACATGTGAGAAGAGAAAAGAATGAGAGGCTTTATTTTGTATTAAGCTTACTTACGGGCTCGCTGGTATTTTAAGCATACGGGAATATGAGACCACAATGATAAAATGAACTTACGTTAGGGCTTCAGAGTAGTTATAATGAGGAGAGACTCCCAGAAATTTCTGCACTTCATCCATCACAGTGGATGGGTCGGTTCTCAGCTGCTGTCCATCAATAATTAGCAACTACGACAAATAAAATAAATGGATGTTTAATTTAAAAATATTTCATGCCTCAAACTAAAACTTTCACTTCTGTCAAACTCATTCATTATATCCAAAGAGCTGCCCCAGAGAACGGTAATAAGCCCAGTTTTATTCATCATCATTATTAATGATCTGGGAGCAGGGTAAATGGCATGTTAATTAAACTGAAATGATATTAAATTGGAAGCTGCTGTGACAACAGAGAAATAACAGTGAAGGACCTAGAAAGACTTGAAGTATTGGAAGGAAACTGAATGAGTTTTGCCCAGCCAAGATAAAAAGTATTAATATCTGGATAAATAGCCTGTAATTCCCATAGATACAGACATATACATATATACGCTAGAGGCATGCTGAGAAGCCAGTCACTGAAAATGACCAAAAAGACAGAAAACAGTAGGTATATGTCAAGGTGAATTGCTTGACTTCTAAAAATACGCAACAATGCATCATTTTTCAAGAATATGGATAAAGACAGATGTTAAAAGGACCTTAAGGCAGGGATGTAGATAGATATGGAACGTGCAGCACATCTCTAAGAAAGCCAGGTACTGGTGGGTAATCCCTTTTTCTTCTTGAAGGGCTTGACCGTTTACACATTCACACCGGGCTACTTCAGATAGGGCCTTCTCTTTACTTGGAGGTGAATCTTCATGGAAACAGACACTATGTGATGATTTTATCAAATGCGGGAGCATGCCTAAGTGACCCTCTGATGACACAGCATGGTGAGGGCTTTGTGACTGCTGGAAGAGAAACAAGGTCCCAAATGGATTGGTCAAGCATTCATTTCCTATCATGGAAACACCCCCACTTGTTGCATCGTGCTGGAGTGAAGAAAAGGAGGTGGGAAATAGACTTGCAGATGGTTCAACAGTCTCATTCTGCAAGCAGGGCTGAAGTTGGCTTTTATGTTTCCATGCAAGGAGAGAGGCTAAAACCATCTAACTTGCTTCAAGGATTTGATGAAACTCATTAGGTTCCCAAGACTATGAGGTTTCAGAGCATAACCAAAAGAGAGAAAGAGTGAGTGTTTTCTTGTGCACAATTAGCCTTTGGAACTACTCATATAGAGCATGTGGTTTTAGAAATGTGGATCTGTGGAAGGATCAGGCTATTCAGAAAGCAGTGGCTCATGAACCCACTGCTTTCCAAGAAGTAAGCCTTGAAAACAGGCCATACTCAAGTGCTTCATAGCACAGAGGTCGAAAAACATCTCAAATGGGGGATATTTCTGTCTGAAAGAAAAAGAGTGAGGTTTCTTCTTCACCGTTAAACAAAGAAGCAGAAAGAAAAGTCTGTGCCATGCTCCACTCTGCAGTCCTGTCCCACTCACCCCCCCCCCCAAAAAAAAAAGAAGACAAATAAGAAAAAGTTTTACCAGTAGAAATGCATTCCAAATACATGACATGCCCAGGGAGCAGGTAGCAAAAAGTATTCCCGCTCAGCCTTAGGGAAGATTGCAAGGAACTGAGGCAAAATTTTTGCTTACTTGTACTGATACATTCATATCCTGATCTCATAAGAATTAATTTCATGAGATTCCTGAAACTTTAAGGCATTTAGTGCACTGGGGAGGTGGAACAATTGGACACTATGATAGAGTGCCTATAATTTCATGACTTCATGAATTAGACAGCTTCATAATAAAACATTAAGGAACAAGTAATTTGAGTCACATCTGTCCTCTCTTTACAGTGTATCAATCATTTTAACACTGCTGACAGCTGAAGAGGTTAAGTCCCTGCTCCTACATGAGCTACTTTGTATTTAAAAGTCACCAAGGTGGGAATGCAGTAACAGAGATACAGTCTGAAGAGGAGGAAATCTGAGAAACAGTTCAAGTTCTTCAGCTTCAGACAGGCTACTTAATAGTTGCTGCAACATAGGCTTTACTTCTAATAGGGCTGGCACATTAGTGTATCTTTTGGATCCTGAGGGGAGTTCACCATGACAGGTCCTCATTTCTTCTGTATGATTCCATTGAAATAATGAATAATGGGTGTGAAACTAACTTAGACACACGACCTTCGTGAACTTTCAGTGATTTGTCCTGACGGCCATTATATAGAATCAAATATTTGAAAAAAATTTGCCAAGTACTCTTGAGATTTGCAAATTAAAAGTACCATCTAAGACAAGTGTGCTGTTATCACTTATCTACCCCTGACGCTACTTCTACCACTAACTGCCTGCTGACTTTCTAACAGACATTAAAACCTCAGCTCAGTCACACAAGTACGTACTCTACTATTTATACAGCAATAAAAATTACAAATAGCTTTAGACAGCCTGGGTAAGTGCTCTTTTTGAGAGCTAACGCTCTCATTCTGTAGATAAGGCTATACTTTTAAGCTGATGTGATTTTAGCTTTGCCTTGATCTGATTTCAGCTTTGCCTTATGCAACATTTCCATGCTTCAGCAATTCCTAGAACCTGCTAACGAGTTTGGATATGGCCCACCACATTTTGTTGCTTTTGCAATGCAAGCTAATCCCTAATGCTTTTACGGAGAAAAAATAAGGCTAGCAGGGCTAGTTCTTTGCTATCATTATGGGATGTAAAGTCTGGCAAAAATCTGTCTGACGTTGCACGTTGCTCAATATTGTTGAGATACTTCGGAGAAAAAAGAACAAAAACATGATGTTGAGAATTTCACATTAGTATCATGATATTACAATATTGCGTATCTCATGCAGTCTGCAAGGCTGGCCTGAAAGAGGGTATGTGGAAAATAACACCAACTAGATGCATCAGAGCTTCCTTGGCACACTCTGGGAAAACAGAAGCTAGAGACTCCAGCCAACTTCTCTCAGCTAAGCTAGTCCTGGATAAACAGAAGGTTCAGATTGCAGCCAATCTCCCTCGGCTAAACTAATCTTTAAACGTTGGGTGGGAAGTACTGCCAGGCACACTGTTAATGTCAGAAACATCCACTGCAGAAATAAATCTACCAAGGAGGTGAGGGATCATGTGCTATCATCTGTCTGGTCTTGTACACCAGATGATGTTCAGGGCTTAGGATGTGCATCTGTTGAGTTGGATCTTATGTAGGCCAGAAGGAGACTAGTAAGGTGTGTTATGTGCCTACCGAAGTTTGCTGGGGGGGTGCAGTTTTCAGGTTGCTTAGGTACGCCTATACTGAAATCCATTATGGATCCATAAACACACACCCTTTGAGGCTCAAAGGCATACGGAGAAACAAAGACAATGTCAAGGATTCAGAGTAAGTGATAGATAGCAACTGTAGGTGATTAGGAGCATGAACGCACGAAATTGTTTCAGTGCATGAATGAGCTTCAACAGAGGCCCCAATGCGTGGGTGCGCTGGTTTGGGCAGTAACGTGTCAACAATTTCCAAAAACAAAGCACGCAGAAGAGACAGTGCTTTGACAGATACAGAAAAGTTCTGTCAGGCAGACCATGAATACACCTAAAAAAAATGGTGATGCTTGAGAGGGCAAACGCACCAAAGTACATGAAAGCTGTATCCATGCTGCTGAATAATATTTATGCTGTTGAGCTGGCAGTCAGCTCTCTGGTGTTGAGGCCAAATGGCACAGCATGACTGACGTCCATGTTGTTAAACTCTCTCTCCCCTCAAAACAGGCAAGAGAGTTTGGTTGATGTCCAGACTCCCTACTGGGTCATGGTTCTTGTTGTCTTTAGAACTGTACTCCGGAATTGCTTGGGAAGATACTTTTTGCTATGGGCCAAAAGCGTGCCAGAAACGCTTTAAAAATCGAGCAGTAGGGGCAGTAGCGGACCAATGTGGGAACTTAGGTACAAATACAGGTTTATTTTTCTACTACAGTCAAAGCCTAAGGAGGTGACACACTGGGAAATTACTCCATGAAATGACCAAGAAGTGGGTGAAGACAGTGATGCAGTTCAAGCTGTGTTCTAGCTCCACTAGATCACACTCATTTCCATGAGGTAATCCCCACTTTAAATGGGGAAGGTATTTTTGCAATGCCAAAATGTTCGGATACCGAGCCTCTTCAGAACCCACGCAGGGAGGATATACCCCAGCTGACATCCCACAGTGTTAGCTAATGCCTTGCTACCACTCAGAGTGGACAGAAATATTATTGAGCAGCTTCCTATTAATTTCCATTAATCTTTCTTTTGGAAACACTCATAGACTATATGATACTGAAGGGACCACAAAGCACTGGATGCCTGTTTCGTTTTCTTCAACAGAACTGACAAAAAGCCAGGAATAAAATGATGAAAGCATGAGCAAACGGAAAACAGCTCCATGTTAAACAGGAGCATTCAAGAAGCAGCAGGGAAGCTTCTTGAACCTCCAGATTATTGTTCTGATTTGATCTGTAGAAGCTCCCAGCTGTAAGGTGCTAAGACATGACATCTTTAGCAAGGCCAAGACAACTAATTAGAACATGGCTATGAATAATCAATGTCTTGAAACATGCTCTCGAGTAGCTAGAATATCCCTGAGGATCAGTATTTGGTAAGTGATACTTTTACAAAGATAATCTTTTAAACTATTACACAGACACGAATAGGACATGAAGTTACTGTCTTATTCACCTGGTAAGGTGGGAAGTAAGTTAGCCATCTTTCAATATGGGTAGCATACCATCCAGGTGCTAGGCATCTCTTCTGGAGAGCTCTAAGCTCAGAAGGGGCTCGAGGTCCAGCTGTGATCACCTGATAGAAACTGAATTTTAGAGCTGCAGGATCTTCATGTGATCGCTGATGCTGTAAAAGAAGATGCATTGTTCGAACTTCACAGACCACAAAGTCATGAAAATAAGACAAAAATGGCACGGACAACCTTACTGACCAGACCTTACTCACCTTGCCTTCAGTGATTATTTACATTAAAAGTTACTTTATGTTAAGAAGTCCTCATCTGTATTCATTTGATGAAAATGTTGAAATAGACATACTGTTTGCTATCAAAACAAACCACAAGACAGACTGATACTAGTAATAACAAAACAGAATGCATACACGTCTAGCCTCAATAAACGGAGTGGCAGCTCCGTTTACAAATCACTGGCATAACAAACACAGATGCTAAGAAGCTCTGTTTCTAGCAGTTTCATGGTTTCTTTTTCTGACCTACACAAGGTAAATACTCAGAAAGAAAAATCTGAACACTAACGCTAGTGTTTATGAGGATTACAGGCTCACGGTATAGTTCAGGTCAGAACGGCTCTCAGTAGGTCTCTAGTCCAACCTCCTGTCCAGAGCAGGGTCAGCTATGAGATCAGTTTAGATTAATTCTCATCAGAACGACAACATCATCACAGAAATTCTAAGAACTTTATTCTGTTTGGAATTTTATCCTAGTTTTATTATTTTATTTGCATTCTGCCAAATTCCCATTGAAATCAACGGCCCAAAAGGAAAAGAGTCTTAATCTAAGTTAAAACCGCTAATTAGGATTAGGATTGGAGAACTAATAGTCCATCCTATACTTACTTTTATGATATGCAAAATTTTCATTCAGCATTAAGATGGCTTTTTCCAATATTGTAACAGAAAAGGAATTATAACACTAACGTGCTAATGGAAAATTAAACTAAAATTCTGCAGTAACGCTTCCCAGAAAGTACTCAGCTGGAAGTTTTTATCTTTCACTTTTTAATATTTCTGCTTCTGTGTGTACTTTAATTTGATGTTTGCAAAAGGACAGGAACGTGAACATCTATAAATCTTGTATTTTCAGCATGAATTGGGCACCTAGGTCTATAAACCAATTTTTGTTATGTGTTGATTACATACATAATTGAGTGAGTAAGCATTTTTACATACTTGTATTACAGGCAGACTTTTGAAAATGTATTTATTGCTATTTTAACCTTTAAAAGATTTTCATGTTTACATTGACAGGTGCATCAATCATCCCCTGGATGATCATATTCAGTGCACTGACAGACCAGTAAAAGTTTGTATCGGCCAAATCCTTCACATACATACATACTGAGAGGATGTACACAGAAGATTCAAGGCGGAAACCTGGTTTGTATTTCTTTGACTTCTGCCTGCCTGTGTTCTTCAAAGTGCGTACCTGATACCAGGAATATGCCCGATCCGACGGATCGATGAGGATGGTGATGATCTTGGCCTTGGGGATGAGGGAAGCAGCTCGTTTAGGAGCTTCCTCGGAATGGAAATAATTGGCGCTTTTCTCAAAGAGGAAGTCGGTGGTGACGTTGGAAGGGGTAGGGAAGAAATCCATGTACCTATGAAAGCAACACCATTCTCAGAACTACTCAAAAGTCACAGAGAGGTAAATGAATCTGTTAAATATATTTTGTTCTAAAACAGTCAATTAAAATAACAGACAGCCTAATTGCCAAACAGAAGCATACAGAAGTTGACGTTATATATTTCATCATGTTTTACTTGCTCTCAGCTTTCTTCTCACTACGTGTAACTAGATACTGAGGCTATTTTTTTGGCAACTGGAATAAAGAGTCACAATATTCATAAGCCTTCTTAAAATTAGCGAGCTCTCATTCACTATCAGTCAGAACAAATTCTTGTCACAGTCAATACTAAAAAATGAGTTTTCCCAATGTGGTCCTTTACTGACATCAATTACAGTGTAATACCATAAGAAAAAATATTCAGGATGGGAATCATTCTGACTAAAACCAGAAAAAAGTTTATCAATGTGGGGAAGATGCACCAGACAAAAACCACAGCTTCATCAGGTAAAAGCTTTCCAGTCAGTGGCAGCATCTTTTTATTATTGTTCCATGAATCACTTCTTTGTGGAAACGTGTTGTATGCCTTTTACTTTTTCATTGTGAGCTTTCCTCACCCGTCATGACATTCCAGTTAATTCCCTACAATCTCCTATGTCACATGCAGACCTCTTTATCCATAGCCTTCACACCACCGTTCATTATTGTTCGGGAAAAGGAGAAATGGCAAATGTTAGTCTTTTTGATTTTTTAATTAAACTTTGCATTGATGAGATAAATGCTATTTAAAGCAAGCTCTTCTGAAGATCATGCTTAACGACTGAAATTTCTTCCAGCGCTCAGATTTTGTTCTGTTCGTAGGAGTGAATTACTTCTAACGTAAATACGAATGGCATGCTCTTGTTGCCTTTGAAATTGTGATGACTGCAGCTACAGCCAAAAACTCGAAGGATGGAACTGACTGATGCACATGCAGCTTTCCTTAAGATATGGACGTTACATGATGACCACTAGCACAGAGAAAAGGAAAGACCCTACGGTGGTTTAAAGAAACTGAACTCTGTGACATGTGATTCTGAGAAATTAATTCTTATTATGTACACATAAGCAATGTTGTCAGGATATTGTTTTGCGCTTCTCTAGCACAGAGTCAGAACTGCCACGTGAATGGATACCTGTCCTTAGAGTTGTGCAACAGAAGTAGGCTGGCTGTCAGATGACAAACTCTCTATGAACTGGATAACGAACAATAGTTGTGGATGCACTCAAGGTCCTAAAAATAGCATCTGGTAGATCACCTTGCATCGGAGAGACCTAAATGATGTAACATGAAGGGCTGACCGAATGGCAGAGACCACTGCATAGTACGTTCAAAGTTGTCTTTTAAAAATTCTGCTATAATGCAACATAGCAGTTCCTAGTCCACATGCAGAGCGTATGTAGAAGAGCTGAAATACGATGACAACCACAGGAAAGTGAACACAAGGCTGTCACTGCCCTGCCAGTTTCCTATGTACTTATGTCTGCCTAATGCTAATGCAAATATCAGACAACGCGTATACTGTTTCACTGTGCTAACGGTGGGTGGATTTTGTTTCCCAGAAACATTAGGGCCAGTTTGATGAAAATGACGAAGGCACACAAATTTCTGCTCACAGATAACATTAGCATTAAAAACTAATGGCTCAACCTGACTCTGTGACCTCAGAATGGACTGCCAGAACATCTGTGGTGAGAAAAAGGCCAGCTCTGAAAGAGGCAGTAGGCACTTAAGGCAAATCTTCCCCGGACCATCTGTGATGTCATTATGCTGCTGAAGAACACTGACTGAAGTCCTGAGAGTGAACCAAGAAAACATACGGCAATGACGACCACAACCTTGTAAGAAAACACTTAACACTACATATAGCGCTACACTGAGTTTGGGAAGAAAGGTAAATTGATACTTTAGATAGCATGGCAAATTTGGGAAAAGCAGAAACTGATGTGGTGTCAGGCAAAAGCAGAAAAGAAATCAGACCAGGTTAGGACACCAAGAGGTTACAAAGTTAGGCTCATCAGCCTATCTGCTAAACACAGAACGCTGAAATGTTCTGTATTACCTCAAGAATAAGGCCACAATCAAAATACACAAGGGCAAAGCTGAGAAGGCTTTGGAGAAACTCATCTAGAATTTGTTATAATGCTTATATCATGCATGACTGGTATCTTTGGGCTTCGCATCAAGAACAGAATGACCAGTTCTCTTCTCACTGTTCTATTTACCTCTGCTGGGAGACCGCAATCTAACTCTGTATCTGTATTTACATATACACTTCTTTCAAGACTGTAGCGTCTAGGTTGCCAAAGGTCTAAAATGCTGAAAAAGCCCTTTCCTGCTTCTGTAGTTAGTCTTGTTCTAACTGTAAGGTTGAATAATGACTAAGTCAGATATGAGTCAGCCCTTGGAAAAAGCTATACTTTTCATAACCATAGAAGAAACTGAATTGGGTGTCATTTGTGAATTCCCTTGTCTTAAAAGAATGCTACCCAGTTAACGGACTAATGAGGAAAAATCGTGTATTTGATCAACATTTGGTAGGCTCGTCACATGCTAGCATTAAAACACTCTATCAGGCTGAAGGTCTGTGAGATGTGTCTGGCAGACAGAATGCAAATCTAAGAGTTAAAGAACTAGGGCGAAGAGGAGTTCTGAGTATGGAATACCTAACTGTGAGAACGTGGCAGGGGTGAACGGGGCATGCAGTACAGATGTACAAAAAGCCAAACAGATGCTGCAGAGTAAGAACCCGACAAGAGGATGTGACTTGTCTACTACACAAGTTGCCCACTGGGAGCCTTATGCACCAGCGCTGTATTAAGATGAAGCTAATTTGGCATACGTCTAGCAGACAAGCTGTATCTGACAGTTAGGGAACTGGATAAAGTAGGAGGAATGACAGAAGCAGCAAAGTGGTTTTCTAGCCACATGCAGGTGTTAAAAATTTTGCTGAAGAACCAACTCATGGCATGTGGGCTGCCTCTGTCAGTGTGGATCGACTGTACCTAGTTTGCCTATCATCTTCCTCAACTTCAAAAAATAAGGAGTCAGCACTCTAATCTCCACCCATTCAACCAGCACCTTGCAACTGATACTGACTGGCTGACACACTACACTTCGCAATAATAATCTGCTGCAACAATATAGTTTTCTGTGAAAACAAAGTGCCTTAAAGAGAAATTGGATCTGAAGTGTCTGCACGCGGATCATGTAACAGTCTTCACCCTATTAATTTTATGGATGAATACTAAGTGAAAGGTAATAAAATTATTTTCCTTTAAACAGAGGAAAAAGAGAAACAAGAAAAAAATATCAGTAATCTCTTATTGATGCTCCGCAGTCACTACAGCATGTTACTGCTTTTCACCTTGTACTGTGTTATGCTGCAGCACTTTCTGAAAGCAACGGAAATCAAGAATGGCTTTGTGGCTATAGGTATGACCGGCGATTCCCTGATAGCCATAATGAACACGGCAGCAACAACACATACTCTGTTTTTTTAGCATCACTTACCACCCTAGTCAGTCTGTACTCTTTTCCTCATTATTTGATCTCTGAAAAACATTTTGAAAGGCTTTGTCTCCATTTACCTGACTGTTATGTCTGAATTCCATTTAAAGGAAAAATTGTCTGGCTGATACTATCTTTTTTTGCTCTTAAGAAATAAGATGTTCACCATGAACATAATTTATATCTCCACATATCCAGCTAACAATTATTACCATTCTAACTTCAAAGGCATGTGTAATAAGAAATAAGGTACCTGTTAGAGAAATGTTTAGAATTTACCTTTAAAGACTTGGAGAATTAAGAAATAGGTATTTTGTTATTCTGTTATTTTTCACTTCTGAATATATTGATATTTGGATATTTACAAGAAAGTCTCGTAAAAGTTAGTGCATTTGTGACATGCTGTAAGATTGTTATTCACTTTAAGGGATTTATCATCTTAGAAGGTTACTTTTTATCTCACTTCCTGTACATAAACAATTAACATTACCAATAGTAATGTCATTTTTGTACTGTGCACAGTAAATAAACTTTTATATTTATACTAATAACCCATCTTACCAATCAATCCCCCTGTGGTAGTTATTTCTATTAAAGAACTGTACCTCCTCAAAGGTTTTTGGGCTGGGGGAGTTACTAATGATGGAAGGATGCATGATCAGGAACAAATACAAAGCTGTGGTACCTGCAACAGGATAAAAGTCCAAGATTAAAAATATGCATATATATGTATGTGTGTATACACACACACACACACACTTTTTAGGTCATATCCTCAGATGGACTAAACTTTTCACTTCAATGAAGGTATGCTGATTTATGTCACCTAAAAATCTGGTTCTGTGCTTTTAAAGTAGACATTTAAAGTACTGTAATAAAAGAAAATGGAGTGCCAATGCTGAAAATCTGTTTTTCACACTTTTAAAACCTATATTTTAAGAACAATTGTTTTTTGCAGGACTACCAAAAAAAACGATTTAAAATCTTGCCCTCAGTAACTATAGGCAATTGGTGGAGATGAAAGGAAGCAGATATGCAATTTTTTTGATTACGGAGAAGGAAATTAATTATGAGCTTCGTCACAAACTACTCCAACTTTGCAATTCAAGCAGTCCATTAGGAACTTCTCGACTTAAAGTAAATGCTACGAAATAAAGAGTTTCTTTAAACAAGACACTACTTGCAGGAGAGACAGAAACATACAGTTAAGAATCTACACATGATTTGAAAGATGACGGGCCTTTCCTCCCTCCGCTCTGACAAGATCTTGTCAACCTTGTTGATCTCTTTATCACAGTGTTACTCATTTTGAGTTAAAGCCAAAGAAAAAGTGACACGCTCCAGAACACTGCATTTTCGAAATCTGTGATGTCTGTTGTCATGACTTACTTTATTAAGTTAAACTGGCTGGTGTCTCAAAATAAAAAGTGCTACTAGATGATCAAGATCTCTACAGAACATTCTGAGTAAAGAATGATTACCTGCTATAGTCATTTCAACTTACACATAGCCTATCTTGTTGAAAGACAGTAAACTCTCACCAGTTTTCTGGGGTCCTACAACCAAGAATTTCGGTAATCGATCGCAGGTTTTTTCTTTAGACCAAATATCTCTGTGACGTTTGTCATCACAGGGATTCTAAAAGGGAGAAAAGCAACAACTAAGAATTTTATTGATAATGATCTGTTAAGGTTCTTAAACTCTGTTTACCAGTTTTACCAGTTTTTCCGTCAACATGTAGATATTCTTACTAGAAAACGCTATTTTCCCCAACAGTGGAAAACCATGCAATGTATTAAAGTACTGTTTCAGTAATTCATAAAGATATTTGCAATGTAATGACAAGAAACTTTAAGTGGATTTTTGTGAACACGCTTTCAAACAAGCATGCTCTAGAAATTTAGTTTTCATTTTGACCCGTTTCTACATATATAGTTGCCCCAACTCCCCAACAGACACTTGGACAAGATCATTTCTGCTGAAATGTCATCATGTTCACTGAAATTATGCTAAAGGCAAATTTGATCCAAAATACTTAAGATGGTCAAAATCTACTTTCGACCAATTACATACAAATAAGAAACACTTAAATTGCTAATGAGTTTTCCAACTCAGTTCTTTCTTTTATATTGCTGTAACAGCTTTCACCCTGTACATGCTGCAGTTTAAAAAAATGAAACAGCAAACAAACTGCAATTTAAGGACACCGTATCTACAATTTTTATTCACATATACGTATTCTGATCCTCCAGTTCAAATTAATACATTACACTGAATCCAGACGGAGGCCTGATTTAACAGTTTTTTTCCTGCTGCTTTACAACTGCATCAGCTTAAATTTAGGTTTTATAAATCGCAAACAACCTTTAACATCGTTGTTTGGCAGTACGCAGCCAAGACACAGAGAATTACCAATCTGCTAGGCTTAAAAAAAAAAAAAAAAAAAAAAAGTATCTGTATCCAAATTCATGTGAATTATAGACAAAAGATACAGCTTTCAGTGTATGTTGGTGAATGTTATTTATAAATTCCTTTGTGAAGTAATTCTAAGTTCTCAGGTTATTCAAGTTACTTCCCATTTTTCAAAATACCTTCTCTCTTAATATGTTACGCCAAATTCTTGACATTTCCCCCCACTCAGTTCAATGCTTTATTCAGCAACGGTGTGAATTTCAAGTTGCGTACTTAAGTTCAAATTTCCGATCTGATACTCAGACTCTGATCAAGTGGCAAAACAACATCCAAAACATTTGAGTGAGCAAGCTTCAATGCATTTTTACTTTAATAAAGCTTGAGTCAGCTCAAAAAGGGTATGTTCACAGTAAAAGTTAAATAACTTACCAAATAAATGAAATAAATTTTTCAATGATATTTGGGCCACTGTTAGTGTAGGAATACGTATATCCACAGTATTCAAACATTCCACTGAAAGGAGTGAACTGTCACCGAACGTGCGCAAAAAGAACGCTGCAATGCACACTAGCTCCTGCCAGAGTTTCCCTTTAGGGACTGTGCTCTTGTCACTGGGTGATTCACTGAATATGTGCCAGCTGCAAGGTCAGTGCAAACTTCAGCCTCAGCAGATATTTACAGTCCTAAGATTTTCAATTTGCTCACTTGTGAGAGGGGATAATGAAGTCAGTAGAGTTGATACCACGGTAAACTTCTTGCTTGTGCAGTTCTCAGCCTTTTGTCAGCAACTTTCCAATCTATTATTAGTTAGCTAGTCAATTTTAGTATGTGGTGTTAGTCTCCTTTTTTCCAAGTACATGGGGGCATCCAACAAAGAGAAAAAAACTGACATTTCCTTAATGACAAATTGCTAAAAATATACATACGCATCTCTCTCAAATTCTTCACTCCTGTTAGCTCCGTAAGGAGAAGACAGAAGAAATAACACGACCCAACCTTCCCACACTTATAAAAACAAGTAAAGTCACAAATAAAATGAATTAAAGATAATAGGTACTAAGATGCATATTTAAAATTATTTTCTCTGTCTTTTCATAGAGATTAAAGTGACAGAGAAAACAACTGCCTTTGTTGAAGCTTCAACAAGCTGTTTTATGGAACCAGTGAGCAAATATGTCCACTTTGGTTTACATGAAACTGAACCAAAAACTTCAACAACCGATAACTGCCCCACCAAAACTTTTCTTTTCCTGATCTCTTCACCCGCAAGCCTGCATACCTGCCAGAGAGGGTCTTTTTGCTCAGGGAATAGTTCAAAGTACTTGCGAGCCAGCTGAACTGGAGGAAGAGTTTGCAGTTTCAGGTTTGTCCAGGTACGAACAAAGTTGGCCAGGTTCACAAAGGTGTATAATCCCAGGCGGTCGTTCCCATAATTAGACAAATGTGTCATGAAGATGCTTATCTGTAAAAAACAAAATAAACAAAGTATACATTGACTCTTTGTGTCACCAGATGGCAGTGCAAGCACAGATAATATGAATCTAATTTGTATTTTACTCTCACTTGGAGCTGCAAGACTTTCATCGCATTGAAGTAGATCTTACTATCCACACTCGTCACTGAATTAAATCCTCCTTCTCAAGTCAACCCAATGCGATCAAGGAAACAAACTGTACAATAGGTACTATGAGCTCTTCGTGAACTAGTATTCGCAATCCTGACCTGGGTTTGTATAATATTTACATAACCTTTATGTAAATTCACTTAATGGAAAACACAGCAAAAATAGCACCCACAGTTTCATTTAACCTGAAACACACACGTAACAAGGAGCAGAAATGAGTCTTAAAAATGTGGATTAATTGAATTAATTCTGTTTTATTGGAAGAGAAAATAAGTCAGAGGACAAGAAGATATCTGACCTCTATTACTGTGATTTAAATCTTGTTGCTCTAGTCCCAACCTTTATAGGATAAGTAACTCATCTCCCAAAACTGCTGAGAAATAACCTATATACTAACGGTGCCATATAAACACAGGGGAGGGACAGACAATCTTTTAGATAACAGACTAATTCAACAGCTGACATGTCAAAGTCATGTAACACTTAAAATCTCCTACAAAACTATTCTTCCAGCACTGGGCAGATAGTCAAGTTATAGGCAGAAACAGAAAAAAAAAAAAAAATCATCTGAAACATGACTGAGTACTCTCAAAGAACTGCACATAAAATACTCCCAAAGAAAAAAAAAAAACACTTCAATGTCCCAACAGCTGTAAGGCTGCTTACATTTTGCTCTTCAAACACCTCACCCTGAAATTCCTACTCAGATACTCAGCTATATTCCTAGGTCCAAACGCACTCTCACACTCCGAATGGAATGAATGCTTACAGAGATGATTTCTCACCAGAAGAACACATTTGGGTGCACATAAACGGTACTGATGAGCAGAGAAGGAATTCACAGACCTTCAGGATGGTCTTTCAGGGACTGAGGAAGGGCTGAAGACTGAGACCTCTGTTTTACAAAATGATGTTTCCAAAATCATTTTGCCACTGATGAAATAATCTGTTCTTACACTAAAATCTGCAAACCCTTGCTTGTCTAGACGCGTTTCTTTTCCCAAGTTTTTTTTGTAAATATTAAAAAATACAGAAATTAGTTCGAAGAATTTGGCTTTGGAGCCAAATTCTCCAGACTTGCTTCCATTACAAAGAAAAAAAAAATAGAAACATGGCTCTTTTTATAAATAAATCTGCCAATGCCATTAATGGGTAATTCCTATTTCAAATGAAACTTGTAGTAAGCCACCTTAAAAAGAAAAACTTTTATCATGACCATAGTTCTGAAATCAGTTCGGGAACTGAAGTTAACCTTTTGTAAAGGAATTCCACCCTTCAGATTAAAAAAGGAAGGAAAATTTGTAGCTACAGCTGTATTCTTTTGTTTCAGAGCATTTAAAGCACTGGCTTCCTATGACATAGAAGTTCAATAGCTATGAAAGTTTTCTTTTGAACACCTAACTGTAACATCATACAGTATTTGCAGAGAGTGAACGCGTTATATTGCAGAAAATGTGTTTTATCAATAAGTGCCATCCGGTGACACCTCTTGGCCTATGAAATAAGCTGAGGGCTTCATTTTGCCTGACTCAAGTAAAAAGAGAGGATAAACACTGCTAAATCAGTAGGATACAATCTTCCATTTCAGATAGGATAGCAAGATTTCTTTTTTTAACACTCCCTTTAGGCAACTAATACTAAACAAAAGTTTGTCAAATGTGTGACCTTTTCCAATTTCCTTTTTTATTTTGGCTCTCCAAACGTCAGCAGCCCAGCAACGGGACTAGTCCCTCTCAAAGATAAGGTAGGAGTATTTCCACAAAAAAAGTTAATCTGCTTTCTTGGCAACTTCTTTCTTTCCTACATCTGGGTTGACCTCTGACATTTAAGCCAGTTCGCCTCCTCGTAATTCCTTACCTGCCAACAACTGCAGCACTGCACTGGAAGAAAAAGGAAGACAACTTCAAATATTGCTAATTCAGGGAAAATACGTATTATTCTTTCCCTGATGGGAGTATCACTATAAATTTTGAGAATGTTATAGAGCATAAGTTAGAAAAATTGATTGGATGCATCATCATAAACCATATCCAGCATATGAAATTATGTCAATGAAGGGGAAAAATATCAGAGACCTCAGTTCCCTTTCTATATTTTTTGTATCAAATATTTTATGGGTAATCATTTGCAACAGAAAGAAAGATGATCAAATGCCGGTTGAAAACACAAATGACTAAATCTTGTAAAGAAGTCCTATTTAGTTTTATCAAATACACACGCTTACATATAACTTTACAGGGTAGAAAAGGTCTCCTTCTATACAATAACAAAAATATTACAGATCAGTTGAGATCATCTTCTAGGAATATCTGAACAATAATTTCTCCTCTTACGCTGATACTGTACCAACAAACTCCTGGCAAAATCTACCACCGTCTATGTAATGCTAGCAAACAATTTAATCCTGTGCTTCCTAAGACAAAGAAATATTGCTGATTCAGGGCCTAATTAACCCAGTTTGACCCCTGCATCAAACAGAGAGCATGACAAGCATCTCTAAGTTTTTCCTCTATGCTTTAGCTTCAGTGGGTCAATACAGAACCCTACATAGGCCAGGGTAGCCTGAGAACTACTCACCCTTACTTTCAGCTGCAGAAGGTCTATAAAGCAGCTGGAGTATGATGCTCTGACGGCCGTATTTACATTCATCTTACAAAGATCCTGAAACACTTCCTGCACCAGGGACTCCTAGGCGAGGCAGCTTACAGCTCACAACGCTGATGTGCCAGGCCAGTCACCTCTACTCTACAGGAGGTCTTAGGGGTCTGTTGACAGCAGCTTTGTGCCCATGGAGAGATGTACAAACTGATCCTCCCATTTCCCTGCCTACAAGGAGAAAAATGAAGTACACCTGCCATTTTGATGGCTTTCACTTTGGTGCCGGCCCAACTGCAGGGGATGGTGTGTGGCTAGCTACTCCTTTCCTCTGCTTTCCCACCAACCTGCACAGAAGGAGAACATCTATCAATTTGTAGAGCAAAACAAAAAAAAAAAGGAAACTCTTCGTATCATTACATTTCTGTTCACAGGTGTGCAGTCTCACACCTAGACAAAACTATTATTAAAACCAAAATTACTATTTTTTGCTTCTGTATTGAGCTTTGATGCTTTGTTTTTGTTCTATCATTACCACGTTGTTCCAAGTTTTATTTAAACCAGTTACAACTAACGGGAATGATTACTTTTCCCATGCCAGTTAATAATTACCATGCTTTGCTCTTAAAGATTTATTCTCTTAAACCCCAGAGCAGGGGATACAGAAGGAGTCCTTTGTGGGCATCGCAGAAGACTAAATCTAGTAAGACTAAATCTATTTTTCAATAATCTTGCACCTCTGGGCAATGTCACGTAATATAAATAGAGCTTCATAAATTTTTTTTATTCCTTCTTCAAAAGGAAAGCAGCTGTGAATAGATTTATGTTTACTTAGCAAGCATTTTAGCCTGTGTCTTTCAGTTAAAAAGAGCCTATTTGACTTTACTATTTCAAGCCTTCTTTCAAAATCATTTCTTTCAGGGCATCTCAGCATTTTATCTCAGTACAAGAAGAATCACCCTTTTTAGCTTTTCTCCTAAGCAAACTATCATCTTGGTTGCACTTCAACGCACGCTCTCCACAAGATTTAATATCTTTCATGAAGGGACTGAAAGGGAATACAGAAAATTTTTAAAACGATGGTTTGGGACTAAACCTGGCCTCTGGGCATCAGCTTCTTTCTTGCTCCCACCCATCTTCAGATCAGAGTAGCAAAGGTGCTTTCCTGTATTCTGCTTTCTCACAGAGCTTTGTAGGCAGCTGTATAAACCAGCTCCTTCCAGTTGCTCCTCAGCATCTATGTAGTCCTCCTTCCTCCGAAGGAAAGGGCAGAGGGCTATTTCTGTTTTGCTCTCTTTCCCGATCCTTGATTATATTTGGGATTCTGACTAGTACTGCAGAGATGCAGGGAAATAAGGACAAGCCTTCCGGAGAAACAGATTTTCTCTTTTGAATGCTCATTCTGTGTTCTGTATTTCCTTGTTATAGAAACATTTCCCAATTTGAAGCAATAGCTTCTAGGTCAATAAATTACAGTGAAGACTGAAACTGAGTTGTTGTTATTAAATCACACATATCAGGAAAAGATGAACTGGCATGATCTAATTTATGTGTCAAGAACAGAGAAAACAAATATATACTTGACAAACAATTTACACAAAATGAAAAAGAAATGCAACAAATTACCCAGCTTCTAGTGAGGGATGCTACCATGGCAGGGTCAGCATTTTAATAAATACTGATCACTGCAAAATCATTATTATTAGGATGCTGCACATATCAAAAATTATACGATAAAGACACCACTGACGATGCTTCTACAGCTGCTGTTTTCCTGACAAAAATAGAGGAGCCTGCCTCCCAAAGGGATGACATTACCTTTCCATTCACAAACCTGAGGAGCCCCTCCTATTGCTGTTGGTTTGTGGCACGTTTGCGTTCCTGGTTTCTTCACCCTGGAATCAAGGGATCTCTATTTTTGGAAAGAAAGGGGTAAGAGGAACCTTGCAAAGACAGTGGGAAAGTATTTCTTTTTTCTTACTAAGCTCACTGTAAAGGTCTGGAAGGGTTAATTATGAAGCTAGTCTAATTGGGGTATAAATGATTTACGGTGAGCAAGACTAGCTGCTCTTATGGAAGGCATCAGAGTGGATATCTTTGTGTTGGACAACCTGCAAACATTCCTCCCACTCCCTCCCTTCCCATTTCTCCAGATGAGCAAAATGTACCTTGCCTCAAACTCCATTTTGCAGATGAGTAGGTTTTACTTACCTTTCACTATTATTCTTCCTTGTACTCCTGAT